GTTTTCAAAAGTAGTCCAAAAACCGTCCGGGGACGATCCATTGACTATGTTTGACCATGTGGGGGCATTGTTGGATTTTTTATGCCCGACCTGACACTGGCACCGCCGCCCCCATCCCCGCAGCCAGCCCCCGCTCCTCCTCCACCAGGCAGCGCGCCCCCACCCCGCCGAGCAGCCGAACCGCAGCCTCCGCCCCCAGCCGCAGCAGCGGGCAGCCCTGCTCTTCCCCAGCAAACCCGCGACGCGCGAAACGCGAACCTCGGCATGGGCGTTTTTCTTTCGGTAGGTCCTCCCAAGAGACATAGCGCCATTCAGTCCCCCCTGTAGCCGGCTTCGCTCCTCCCTCCCCAGCAGGCAGCGTGCCCCTTCGGCCACCACCAGCCCGAGCGCCCAATCCGTCCCGACCTCTCCATTCTCTTGCACCTCGTTTTGAGGGCTCCGACCACTTGACGCCGCCAGTCCTGTTCATCTTCCACCGCCAGCCCGCACGCCCTTCCTGCCCCGACCCGGTGTTGCAAGGCGTGGCGCGGCACCGCAGCCTCGGTCCAACGCAACGATATACGTACCCCCCATCCGCAACCACTTCCACTCCATTTCCCTAGCATCCCGCGCATTTTATCGCCCCGACATCTGTTAGCTGCTGCGCGTCACGGCGCCGCAGCCCCACTCCACCGCAGCTAGAGAGCCCCTTGTTGTGCCCCCCTTCCTTTCGTGCAAGAAACATAGCACGCGTATCGGAAGAACTTGAAGCAGTGGTGTTGGAGCCATTTGGCGCTGTCGCTGGTTCTCTTGGACGTGCGCAGCCACGTCATCATCGGAACCACACCCGGGCCGTATTGGAGGCTGTCGCAGGGGCACCTTGGGCGCTCAGGGGGATTGGGCTCCTGGGGGCGCCCCGAGCCACTCGCAGGCATCCGACGTCGTGGTTTCTATCGGCAACGTGGCGCCCCGCAGGTGCGGAGCCCTCCCCAGGGATCGTGGTCTTTTGCCTGACTCGTGCTGTTCTGGTCCCGGGGCCTTGCACGGACCCCAAAGGCCAAACATCGTAGAAATTCATCCGTCGTGAATCTCGTTGCGACGCCAGGATGTCAGGGCACCCTCAATGAGGAGGAGAAGGACGAGGAGGAGGAGGAGGAGGAGGAGGAGGAAGAGGACCTAGAGGAGGCCCCCCCGTGGCCCTCCCGGGAGCACCCGCGGTGGGAGGAGGGGCGCCGAGGACGCGCGCCTGGGCGTGGCCTACCTGACGGCCGAGGGCGGCCTGCGGCGGGAGGCGCTGTTCGCGTGGTCGCTGGGCATGCAAGCCGCCGTCGCAGGCCTGTGGCGGGCATTCTCGTTGCGGCCCGAACTCGGGAGCGGAAAAGAGGGGGATGATGACTAGGGGGGGGGGATATCATGGAGCGGGCCATGATATTTCCTCGGATTTCATGGCGCCTCTTCTTGTTTCATTACGTCCCTGGCCCCCCCGCTGGGCCGCGCACATGCCGCCGGCCATGATTTGCACCCCCCCTCTTGGACACCCCCCTCTTGGCCGCTCCCGACGAACCCTCCTTTGGTCATGTTTCCTCCATCCTGTTTCCTCATGAATAACTTCTCCCCGTCGCACCCCCAGACGTATCCGCAGGCCTGACCAGGCAGGGCGTTTCGCCTGAGGCTTCTTCGCCGCTTACGATCTTGAAGCTTGAAATTTGCGACACATTCAACGATGGAGGACGGGCCGTGTCAAAATAGAGCTCTTCCAGTAGCGCCGCATGCAGTAGCTTCAAACATTGCACCAGTTGCAAGGATGAAGAAAGGCTGGTGGTCATTTTCAAGTTTCATCTCTCGCTTCAGCGCCGCGTGCAGTCTTTGCACAAGGTCGCAACAATGTCAATGATGGAAGGCGGGTCGTTGCCAAAATAGAGCCCCCGCATTAGCGCCGCGCACATTCGTTTTAGAAGCAAGATGGGGGCCGGTTCCGTTTCAACATGTGGATTCAGCGTCGCGCAAATTCGTTTTCAAAATTCGCAACGGTGTCATGGACTTGTAGGGTGAAATGCCAGCAATGGCGGTCCTGTGCGATTCATGAGGGTCAGGACACAGCAGTCACGTGGATTTGCGGAGAACGGTGTTCTAGCACGATTCGGGATTGTCAGGACGCAACAATCACGTTAATTCGCGGCGTTGAAATACCAGGAATTGTCGTTTGTCACGATCGGCAGTCTTGGGGGATGCCTGACTTGTATCAACTCTATCGAAGACGCCTACGGCGAATCACCGCCGCCCCCTGCCCTTTCGGAAGCGCCTATGTGGCCGAGCGTTGTGGCCAGAGGCCTGCCAAGTTATCGGAGTCGGTTTGGAAAGCTTTCGGGGAACACGGGGGAGAATGAACATGACGAGGAAGTGGAAGAGGCCTCATGGGCCGTCTTGAGCCGTCGGAATGGCGAGAAGAAGCAAATGCCAACATCCTTGACACACTTAGGGGAAATAAATGAATTGGGTCTCTTCGGGCCCTCCTGGAGGACCTCTTGTAGGCCTCTTGGGCCTTCTTCGAAGCCTCTTGGGGGCCTCTTGGGCCGTCTTGGGCAACATTGACGCCATGTTGGGCCATCTTGGAGGCATCTTGGGCCGTCTTGGAGGCGTCTTGGGCGGCGAAGCTATCAGACCATGTGTTCCCCGAGTCGGTGTGGAAAGCCGTCGGGGAGCACGTGGGGGAGGAAGAGGAAGAGGAGGACAAGGAGGAAAGAGGAGAAGGGGGAGGATGCCTCTTCGGAGCCTCTTGAGGCATTCTTGGGCTCGATTAGGCCATCTTAGGACCGTCTTAAAAACCATGTTGATACTATCTAGGGCTCTCTTGGAGCCTCTTGAGGGCCTCTTGGGGCCTTTTTGGGACTCCTCGGGGGCCTCGTTGGCCGTTTGATGGCTTTCCTGGCCCGTCTGACGTCGGAAGCCGTCTTGGGGGCCTCTCCGAACCAGCTTGGGGTCCTCTTGGGGCGCTTCGGGGCCGTCTTGGAGGCCATCTTGGGCGTCTTGGAGGCCTCTTGGCCCGTCTTGGGGCCCTCTTGGGGCCGTCTTGGGGGCCCCTTGGGCCGTCATGGGGCCATCTTGGAGGCCTCTTGGGCGATCTTGGGGGCCTCTTGGGCCGTCTTGAGACGTCGGAATGCCGAGAAGAAGCAAATGCCCCAATCCTTCAAACACGTAAGGAATATCCATGATTTTGGTCTCTTCGGACCCCTCTGGAGGGCCTCTTGGAGGCTTCTTGGGTCGTGTTGGGCCGATGTGGAGGCTTCTCGGGCGACCTTGGAGGTATCTTGGACTCTCTTGGGCCGTCTTGTCTTGCAGGCCGTCAAGGACCATCTTGGGCGGACTTGGAGGCCATCTTGGACCATCTTGGAGGCCATCTTGGGCCAACGTGGCCATCTTGGAGGCCATCTTGGACCATCTTGGAGGATTTTTTTCCGGATTGAGGTTCTTGGCAATCTTTTGAGGTGGCCGGCGGAACGCGCCAGAGGCCAAGGGGGAGTTCTTTGGGAAAAGAACCAAAACCAAAACCGAGAGGGTTCAGCACGCCAGCCACCCCTGTGATGAGTCAACAGGGGGCGGCGGATCGAAGACGCCTACGGCGAATCACCGCCGCCCCCTGCCCTTTCGGAAGCGCCTATGTGGCCGAACGTTGTGGCCAGAGGCCTGCCAAGTTATCGGACCATGTGTTCCTCGAGTCGGTTTGGAAAGCTTTCGGGGAACACGTGGGGGAGAATGAACATGAAGAGGAGCCGTCTTGAGCCGTCGGAAGGGCGAGAAGAAACAAATGCCAGCATCCTTGAAACACTTAGGGGAAATGAATGATTTGGGCCTCTTCGGGCCCTCCTGGAGGACCTCTTGAAGACCTCTTGGACCGTCTTGGAGGCCTCTTGGGCCGTCTTGGGCAATATTGACGCCATGTTAGGCCGTCTTGGAGGCATCTTGGGCCGTCTTGGAGGCATTTTGGAGGGCGAAGCTATCGGACCATGTGTCCCACGAGCCGATTTGGAAAGCCTTCGGGGAACACGTGGGGGAGGAAGAGGAAGAGGAGGAGAAGGAGGAAAGCGGAGAAGGGGGAGGATGTTTCTTCGGAGCCTCTTGAGGCATTCTTGGGCTCGATTGGGGCATCTTGGGATCGTCTTGGAGGCTATGTTGGGGCTATCTTGGGCTTCTCGGGGGCCTCTTTGGCCGTTTTATGCGTTTCCTGGCCCGTCTGACGCCGTCGGGAGCCGTCTTGGGGGCCTCTCTGAACCGACTTGGGGTCCTCTTGGGGCGCTTCGGGGCTGTCTTGGAGGCCATCTTGGGCGTCTTGGAGGTCTCTTTGGCCGTCTCGGGATCTCTTGGGGCCGTCTTGGAGGCCTATTGGATCTTCATGCGGCCATCTTGGAGCTCTCTTGGGCGATCTTGAGGGCCTCTTGGGCCGTCTTGAGCCGTCGGAAGGCCGAAAAGAAGCAAATGCCAAAATCTTTCAAACCCTAAGGGGAATCAATGATCGTGGCCTCTTCGGGCCCTCCTTGAGGACCTCTTGGAGGCCTCTTGGGTCGTCTTGGGCCTTCTTGGAGGCTTCTCGGGCGACCTTGGAGGTATCTAGGACTCTCTTGGGCCGTCTTGCAGGCCGTCAAGGACCATCTTGGGCGGACTTGGGGGCTATCTTGGACCATCTTGGAGGCCATCTTGGGCCAACGTGGCCATCTTGAAGGCCATCTTGGAGGATTTTTTCCGGATTGAGGTCCTTGGCAATCTTTCCGGGTGGCCGGCGGGACGCGCCGGAGGCCCAGGGGGAGTTCTTTTGGAAAAGAACCAAAACCAAAAACCGAAAGGGTATAGCACGCCAGGCACCCCTGTGATGAATCAGCAGGGGGCGGCGGACCCAGCTGCCTGCGACAAGTCCCGCCACCGTGCCAACCCAGCATTCTGGGTGGCGACTGTTCGAGGTGGCACGGGAGGCCGTCACGGACGACATTCCGTATCTCCGAGTTTGGGAGAGCCGTGATAAGGGTGATGAGGATTATGAGGATGACGACGACAATGACGACGAGGACGATGACGATGACGCTGAGGATGACGATGACGACGATGATGATGATGATGATGATGATGATGATGATGATGATGATGATGATGATGATGACGATGACGATGACGATGATGATGATGATGTTGGTGATGGTGATGGTGATGATGATGATGATGGTGGTGGTGGTGGTGGCGGTGGCGGTGGTGGTGGTGATGGTGATGGTGATGGTGTTGGTGGTGATGATGATGATGATAATGATGATGATGATGATGATGATGATGATGATGATGATGATGATGATGATGATGATGATGGTGATGGTGATGGTGATGGTGATGATAATGATGATAATGATGATATTGTGGCTGTCGGCGTGCAGCCAGGCGCGGAGGCCGTCAATAACAACCCTGGTGTGGTAGGGGGGGCCCTGCGGGTTTGTCGTGTCTGGGCTTCTCCCCTTAGGGTGTTCTCGATTTTGGCGTATGCATGAGGCGATGGGCCTTCGATGAGTGTGCTCATTCCCCACTCAGTGCTTGCACCGAAGGGGTCCTAGCGGAAATTGAAAGATTTGTCAAATTTTTCCCATCGATGTGGGTAGCCGGCTCGGTTCCCGGGTTCCCGGTTCCAGGTTCCCGGGTTCTTGGTTATTGGTTCCGGGCCGATTTCGGTGGGTTTTGGGTTCCCAGGTTCCCGGTCGATCTTCTTATCGATATCAAACCATCTATTGATTGGGATTTTTATTTGGTGTAATTCCCTACCTAGGCTCTGCCTAGAAGGGTTCTTACTCTCTTAGCTAAAGGGGCCGGGCAATGGAAACCGCCCCGGGCGGTTCCCCCAGTCCCCGCCCCGCGGTTCCCCCAGTCCCCTGGGAGCTTTAGCCTTAGCTTTAGCTTTAGCTTAGCTTTAGCTTTAGCTTTAGCTTAGCTTTAGCTTAGCTTAAGCTTAGTGTTAGCTTAGCTTTAGCTTAGCTTTAGCTTAGCTTTAGCTTAGCTTCAGCTTAGTGTTAGCTTGGCTTTAGCTTAGCTTTAGCTTAGCTTTAGCTTAGCTTCAGCTTAGCATTAGCTTAGCTTTAGCTTAGTGTTAGCTTAGCCTTAGCTTAGCTTTAGACTAGCTTTAGCTTAGATTTCGCTTAGCTTCAGCTTAGCTTTAGCTTGGCTTTAGCTTAGTGTTAGCTTAGCTTTAGCTCAGCTTTAGCTTAGCTTTAGCTTAGCTTCAGCTTAGTGTTAGCTTAGATTTAGCTTAGTGTTAGCTTAGCTTCAGCTTAGCTTGAGCTCAGCTGTAGCTTAGCTTTAGCTTAGATTTAGCTTAGCTTCAGCTTAGCTTCAGCTTAGCTTTAGCTTAGCTTTAGCTTAGATTTAGCTCAGCTTTAGCTTAGCTTTAGCTTAGCTTTAGCTTAGCTGTAGCTCAGCTGTAGCTTAGCTGTAGCTTAGCTTCAGCTTAGCTTTATATTATATTTAGCTTAGCTTTAGCTTAGCCTTAGCTTAGCTTTAGCTTAGCTTTCGCTTAGCTTCAGCTTAGCTTTAGCTTAGCTTTAGCTTAGATTTAGCTTAGATTTAGCTTAGCGTTAGCTTATCTTTAATGTTAGATGTAGCTCAGCTTTAGCTTAGCTTTAGCTTAGCTTGAGCTCAGCTTTAGCTAAGTTCAGCTTAGCTTTAGCTTAGCTTTAGCTTAGTGTTAGCTTAGCCTTAGCTTAGCTTCAGCTTAGCTTTAGCTTAGCTTCAGCTTAGCTTTAGCTTAGCTTTAGCTTCGCTTTAGCTTAGCTTCAGCTTAGCTAGTTTAGCTTTACTGTTACTACTAATGCTGCTTTCCTAGGGGCTCCAACTCCTAGGTAGGGTCGCACTGGGATAATTTTTGTTGTTGGCCCACGGCAGTGGTAAGTCGGGCATGTCCCTCTACAGGACGAATATTCCAGAATAGTCCACAAAATAGTCCAGAGACGATTTTCTTGCTCTTGGGGGAGGAGCCAGAGGAAAAAAGGGCAGACAAGGAGGGGGGTTATGCTGGATTCTGCGATCCAAACATCAGTGATTCGAGAACGAATAACTTCACGAAACGAAGCTGGAGCCGACTCTACCCGCAGGCCTCCCATGTGCGATGAACCTCACGTGCGAACCCTAGAGTTATAGCTGATGAGGCTTAGCTCCGCTGCCGCTGCCGAGCACCGCTGCCACTGACGCCCACAGCAGCCACTGCCTGCCGTCTCGCACAAGCCGACCCCAGCCTTGTAGCTGATTATGCTTGCTCCAGGTCTTACTTCGGGCAACGGCAGTAGCTGCTGCCACTGCCCAATCACTGGCAGGGCCCGATGCTACAGCCTGCATTCACGCGCGAGCTGACCCCACCATTGCAGCTGCGGAGGATTTGCGCTTGCTGCATCCCCTGCACCGACAGCCGCTGGTGCTGTTGCCCGCCTTCCCTCAACAGCAGACCCAGCTGCCGCCGCTTCTGCTGCCGCTGCCGTCTATCTCGCATTCACAGTCTGCTGGCGCGGCCTGCCGTCGATGTCGAGCTATCCCTTGCAGCACTGTAGCTCATGATGCATTCTTGCTTCGCCCTCGGGAGCCGGCCACCGCAGCTGACATTGATTGCCTTCTCGCATGTGCACTCATTGCTGCCACGGCCTGCATCCGCGCGCTCGGATACCGGGCATCGCTGCTGCCACTGCTTGCCTTCTCGCACCGACAGGCTTTGTTGCCACCGATTGCCTTCTCTTACGAGCTGACCCCAGCAGCCATATAGTTTGGTCGCAGCTCATGGGAGCCTGACATGTCTTCGCAACTCCCTCTTGAGAGTGCGCTCGCGTGCGCTAGCGCTTGGTAATCGATGAGAACGTCACGGTGTAGCGTTGATCAGCGTCGACGTAGCATCGATGTGCGTCGGTTAGCGTCGGTCAGCGTCGAGTCGCAAGAGCCAGCAAGGTGGTATGGGAGCGTCCAACGGGTTGACATCGAAATGTAGTTGATGATGATCTGCTCATGCGTCGCCATCGGGCAGCGCCAACCGCTGATGCCACTGCCTGCCTTCTCGCATGGATAGTCCCCTCTGCCGCATTGGGTCACCGGCGACCCCTGCAGCCACTGCCTGCCTTCTCGAGCGAGGTGACCCCAGCATAGCGACTGATGGTGTTGGGCTTCTGCGCCCCCGCCGGGCGCCGACAACAGCCACTGCCTGTATTCTCGCCCCGCCTGTCTCTGCTGCCGCTTCCTTTGTTCTCGCACGAACCGCTCCCTACGTTGTAGCTGATGACATCGCTAGTCGACGAAGACGAAGAGGGAGGTGGCCCGTTTGGGGAGGGAGGAGAAGCAGGAGAAGAAGACGGAGGAGGAGGAGGAGGAGGAGGAGGAGGAGGAGGACGAGGACGAGGACGAGGACGAGAACGAGGACGAGGAAGAGGAGCCATAGAAGAAAGAGGCAGAGGACGAGTAGGAGGAGGAGGAGGAGGAGGAGGAGGAGGAGGAGGAGCCAGAGGAGGAAAAGGCAGAAGAGGCGGAGGAGGACGACGAGCCAGAGAAGGAGCAAGAGAACGAGGCAGGAGGAAGGAGGACGAGGATGGGAAAGAAGGAGGAGGTAGGACCTGAAGATGGACAAGGAGGAAGGGGACAATAATGAGGAGCAGAAGGCAACGGAGCCCGGCCTCCTGGTCGCCACGAGGCATGCGCTGCTGCTGTGGCCGCTCGGCGGCGTTCCCGGAGACCACGGCGGGAAGCAGGGAGGCTCCCGAGACATCCGACGATGTTTTCAATCCACGCACCAGGGGTCCCGGCCCCTTCCCCAGAGGCGTTGTATTCGACTTGGATCCATGTGTTGATTGCCCTGCAGCCCGGAAGGGGCCTTTCGGGGCCGAAATTGCCGCCCCAAAAACAATCAAAAATTGAAAACAGCTTGATTGAAGAAAAACAGTCCTTCAGATGTTTGGGCCTGGACGGGAGGAGCCCCAGACATCCACCTCGACCTCGAGGAAGTTTCGGAGGTCTGGGCCCCTTTTCGGACAGCCTCGGCCCGAAGAGAGCGTCAAGCCGGCGGTGTTGCTGCACCGGCTGGACTGTCTGTGCATGCAAGCCTTTTGGGTTGGCAAAAGAACACGCGCCTCCACCCCCACTTGGCCCCCCTCTTCCTTCTGCGGCTGGGCCAATGGACCTCGGCTCCCGGTTGTAAGGATGCCTCACAAGGACAGCAAATATACCACACACCCATCTGGCCGCCCCCTCTGGTGAGGGTGGTCAGGTGGGGTCGAGTGGGCTCTTTTGCTCCCCCGCTTGCAGAGCCTAGACCTCCGAAAGAGCGTCCTCGGAGTGTGATCGAGGGGATTCAAAGAGGGATAGGGGTCGGACCAGCCCCCCCGTCCCTCAAAAGTCAGGGAGGACACGGACGACGCAATTCACTTTCTACTGGTAGCATTTGCATCTCCCACGAGCAGCTGACGCCATCGACACATCTCAAGGACAGTTGCGAAACCGAGTCGTCTCATCAATTACCCGCAGCACCATCACGTCCCACCGACGGGCACCAGCAACACATCTCACCAGCAACTACCGCGTCCGAGATACCTCCGCCGTGATCGAGCTGGCTGGGTGGCGCGGCTGGGGCGGACACCGAGTTAGAGGCAGGCGGAAAACCATCACGGGCGGCTCCCGTCGAAACAACCCGCTTAAGCATGTGAACGTGCGAGGAGGACATGCGCATCTGCTGGCGCGACAGACATGGCGTGGGCATTGTCGGGGAGCGCACCAAGAAGCCAGATGCTCTCCGCTAGGGCGTGCCTTGTGCCTCTCCGCTGCGCGGCGCCTCCCCGCGGGCGCTCGAGAGACTGCTGCGTTCAGGGTGCTCGAGGCTTTCACCCGACTGCACCTCGCGAGCGGATTTCAATGTTGGGTCTCTTGCGAAGCTGTCTTGCGGTCGCGTCCGCACTGCATTTCGATGCCAAACGCTAGAGATGCGACGTGCCCTCAGGAGTGCGCGGTGGGGGGGGGGGGCTCCTCCAGTACCTCCCCGAAGTGATTCCCACCTGTGCTCTCAGGTCGTTCGGAGGGGCAGTTGAAGACACCAAGTGTGCTGTTGCACACGTGGGGAAACATTCGCTCGACCCACATGCCTGGCGTCACAGTCTGCCAGGAGTAGGGCTGGCGGTTGTAACGCATTCGGGTTGTTGCTTCCCCCGTGCAGGAGATGAGAGTAGCCGCCGTTGTGCTGCCCTACATCAAGTCGCGGGACGCGCTGCTGATAACACGGCGCGTCTTGGGTCGAAGGGTCAGAGGATGGAATGGTGAAATGGTGGAGGCACATGAGATAGTCGTTTGGCGTTTCTTCCCCACGGCTGCCCGTGCCCGCACAGCCGTTTGCATCGCTTGCTGCGAGTCGACGAACAGCTGGTACTTCCGCAAGGTTGCAGAAGGCTGCAGTCGGGGGCGGCCAGGAGGGGGGCGGCGGCTGGCTCTCGTGGCTCGGGCCACGATATCTCCCCCGAGCTCGTGGCGCCTCTTCTTGTTGCAGGGCATCCCTCGGGCATCCCCTCGTCCGCGCACAGGCCTCGGGCCATGATCTGCTTACCCCCTCTCATGCACGCCCCCCTCCTGCACCCCCTGGAAGGTTGCAGAAGGCTATACCGCCGGCCGTGGAAGAGATGTGTCGGCTTGCCCAGCTGGCACCACGCGTCGTGCCTGATGCTGCGCATCTGACGGCAGAGTACACCTTATGCGATGCTTAAGAAAACTTAATTTTTCGGCCAGAGTCTCGATTATTCTTAATATTTCAATGTATATCTTAAGATTATAATAGAAGTGTTGGGTTTTTATTCAAGTTCTGAGACTATGAACTTCTTAACCCATGATTTCTTAAGCATTTCGCAGGGTGTAGGCTGGGGGGGGGGCGACGAGGAGATCGAGCAGGAATGGGAGGAGCGGGAAGGTCAGCTGGATGGAGGGGAGGGGGAAGCAGAGCAGGGGAGAGAGAAGGGGGAAGCGGACGAGGGAGAGTGCCGAGGAAGCGCGATTACAGATCAGGACGCGTGATTCAGCCACGTCGACGGATCCCGCTTCTGTATAGCATCGACGCTCTCCGTCGCCAAATCAGGCGGCACTCGCTGCATGTGTCCGGGTGACAGTTTCCCGATGGGTGGATCCGGGGCTCACGCGCCAGAGCCACGGACCCCCGATCCAGGTCCGCGTGTGCCCGAGAGGGGGGGGGCTTCTTCAGAGCCCCGAATCATCAGGGGTAACTCGGGTCAGGGATAAGTCGGGTTCGTCTTTTGGGAAGCCAAGCCCGAGTTACCCCGGACCCGAGTTACCCCGGATATTCGGGCGCCCAACTTCTGCGGCCTCGCCTGGGATGGCGACAGGGGGCCCGGATGGACAGCGCTGGCAGTCGCGAGCTGGCAGGCCAGAAAATGGTGGGGTGCCGACCACCGCGCGCAGCCTGCGTTCGCGGGTCGGCGGGGGGGGTTTCTGCGGACTCGCCTGGGATGGCGACAGGGGGCCCGGATGGACAGCGCTGGCAGTCGCGAGCTGGCAGGCCAGAAGCGGGCGGGGTGCCGACCCCCGCGCGCCGCCTGCGCTCGGGGGGCGGCGGGGTCGCGCTCGAGGCGCTCGAGGCGCCGGCGGCCACCGGTGGTGTTTTTGCCGGTGGTCGCTGGCGTGCTGACCTCTGTTTCGATGCTCGTTTTGGGGGACCTTCCTGGGGGCCACATAATCGCAGGCCTAGAGGTCGACACCAACACCAAGATCGGCGGTGTTCCTCCACCGAGGGAAGAGGATCCCGATCTCGGTGATGGTGGCAATACTCTGGCTTCCAAGGTGGCCGAAATATTACCACCAACACCGAAATCTAGGATCACCTCCCCCCTGTGGAGGCAGCCCTCTGTCTTGGTGTTGGTGCCCATTTCCAGGCCTCCCACATAATGGATCTGTTCGACTCAGGTTCGACTCAAGTTCGACTCAGGTTCGACTCAGGTTCGAGTCAGGTTCGAGTCAGATTCGACTCAGGTTCGACTCATGTTCGACTCAGGTTCGACTCAGGTTCGACTCAGGTTCGACGCACGAGTGGAGCGAGTGGCTCCAGGAAGGTCCCCAGAATGAGCATCTAACTCTGTTGGCTGGGCCTGGCCCGGGGATGGTGGGCGGTGGCGGATAGCGTTGGACGTGGTGGTGGTAGTGGCAGCTTGTCTCGGGCCTCCTGGTGTTCGTTTTCCTCGGTGTTCTTCCTGATGGTCAGTCTGGCCGTGGACCACCTCTCTGGCCTTCCCCGCAGGCCCCCGAATAAACGTGCCCCAAAACAGCCATGCATGGGCCAGGAGGACGAAGGAGGGAAGGGCGAGACAGGATAGGGAGGAGGGAGAAAGAGGAGAAGGAGGTAGAAGGGAGCGGAGGACGGAAGAGGATAAGAGGAGGATGATCAAGTAGGGAATCGGCGGAAGAAGAGGATAATGAAACGACAGAAGAGGAAGAGTAATACGTATGATAAGAGGAAGGGGAACAGGACCGAGAGAGTAACATGCGCATGATGTGAGGTAAGATGTGGAATGCGAAAGTTCGAAGATCATGAAACGAAGCACGCGAACGAACACGATGCAACCTAAATGAAAGCATGTGTTCTGACAGTAAAGACCTGTGACACAACAAGAAGGGACACGCAACTTCGGCATACTCAAAAGGACGAGTACGACGAGGACAACGCAGTATTCAAGAAGAGCAGGACAGCGATGAAGAGACGGTGAGCATGCGGATAATGAAAACGAGGAGGCGGATGAGTAGGCAGTGGGCTAAGGAGCTGAAGGATGAGCAGGAAGAGGACGATTTGTTAGGAGGACAAGGAGGGTCAGGACAACCAGGAGGGTCAGGACTATCAGGAGGGTAAGGACTGTCTCGAGGGCCATGAGGAGATCAGGAGGGGGACGACGACAAGCCGAAGGAGGGCGAGGAGGAGGAGGGGTTACACAAAAAACAGGGGGCGGGAGGAGGAGCAGGAGGACGTGGATGCGACGGAGGAGGAGACGGGAGGAAGTGGAAGCTGTGATCGGAAGGGACAGGATGAACACAGGGGTGACCAGCGGCGCTGCGAGCTGTGTCGCTCAGAGTCTGGCCAACGCAAAACGGGGGATGACCAGGAGAGGACGAGCAGGAGAATGGGTTGAACAAAAACGAGGAGGAGGAGGAAGAGGCGGAGGCGGAGGACGTGGAGGAGGAGGAGGAGGAGGCGGAGGACGTGGAGGCGAGGGAGGAGGAGACGGGAGGAAGGGGAAGCTGCGATCGGGAGGGGCCAGAGGAGCCCCCCATTGGGGGGGAGGGGACCACGGGGGCTTCGACCGCTCGCGGTGGCACCGCTCGCAGCCTCGAGCTTCCGAGGGGCGGGGGGAGGAGCGCCTGGCGCGGGAGGCCGCCGCCTCGCGGGCAGGGGCGCGCCCGCCGCGCGCGCGCGAGGCGGGCCGCCCGAGGGGGCTCCTACAACTCCATGTGGGCCCGCCGCCGCGCTCGCGAGCTCGCCGCCGCCGCCGCTCGCCGCCGCCGCCGCCCGCCGCCCGTCGCGATCCCGCTTCCATATAACATCGACGCCCTGTGTCCGGGTGACAGTTTCCCCATCCGTGGATCCGGGGCTCACGCGCCAGAGCCACGGATCCCCGATCCATGTCAGCGTGTGCCCGAAGGGGGGGGTGGGGGGGGCTTCTGCGGACTCGCCTGGGATGGCGACAAGGCTGGGTAGTCGAAGGCCAGACTGTCAGATTGGATTGGGCCCCCAGGGCCAATCTGGCCCGGCCAAACTGGATGATTTGGGTGATTCGCCAGACTGGATTCGCGTTGGCTCCCTCGCCAGATTGCCCCCGTTTGCCAGATTGGGCCTGCCAGATTGGCGCCAGATTGGCTTCGACTGCCCAGGGAGGGCGGCAGCTCCGAGGCTTCCTGGGGTTCGGTAGCAAATCATGGGAGCCTTCTATGCCCTGGCAAGTCCGCCTTCAGCGTGTACTGGCGTCGATCAGCGTCTGGCAGTCCATGAGATGGCGCCGATCTAGCGTCGATTCAGCGTCGATTCGCAAGAGCCGACAAGATGGTATGGGAGGCTCCCATGCGTTGCCACCGAACCACCCCCGGCGGCCCTGGCGCGGTCGGGGGGGAGTCCTGATCTGGCGTCGGAGTTTCGAGGCTTTCGGGGGGGGGGATGTTTGCCCCCCCCCGGGGGGGGGGGCGTGGGGGGCCTCCTTGCCGCTCCCTCTCCTCACTCTCTTGGGCCTCCGGTGTGGTTTGTCACCCCGTTCCGGGCCCCGCCGCCCCGCTCCCGAGCGCGGCCGCGCCGCCGCCCGCGCGGAGAGGCAGGAGGCCTTGGCGTGGTCGAGCAGCTGTGTTCTGAGGGTTGCCGAGGGCGGCCGTTCGAAGGTTCGAGGTGCGAAGTGCGAAGGTTCGAGGGTGCGAAGGTTCGAAGGTTCGAAGGGTTCGAAGTGCGAGGGCGGCCGTTCGCCCCCGCCGTTCCTAGGCCTCTCGGGGGGCTCTTCTCGTCGCCGGGGCCGGATCCGCCCCGAGGTCCTGGCCATGCCGCGCACTGGAGCAGGTCCAGGAGCCGACTCTTGACCGCTGGGCCTTGACGTCGAAGGTTGGAAGCTCGGAGGAGGAAGTGGTGGAGGAGGGCGAGAGGGGGGAGGAGAAGGAAGAGGAAGAGGAGGAAGAGGAGGAAGAAGAGGAACAGGAGGAGGAGGAGGAGGAAGAGGAGGACGACGAGGTGGAGGAGCATGAGGAGGAGCAGCAGGAGCAGGAGCAGTGAGGAAGGTTCGAAGTTTTGGGGGGAGTGCCTTTGCCTACTGGCATCTCGGTAGAGGGCTCCCACGGTGGCAGAGTGGGACCACAGAAGAGCCCCACGGGGGCCAGCGGCCCTGGTCGTCACGCCCAGTCGGCGTCCGTAATCGCCGCCGATGCCGCTGCCATCGCCGCTGTCGCTGCCGATGCCATCGCTCGGCATCGCCCGGCTTGCAGTCAAAATCTAAAGGAATGATTCGCTGCTTCGTCAAGGATCCTTGCATCCCGTGTCCTCTCGGGGAACAAAGAGTGACATCAACAGGAAAGTTGAGGACCGCGGGGATTTATTGGATCGGCGGTGGACCCCTCCTGGCGCGCGGAGCGCGCTGGGAGCGGCGCCGGAGGCGTCGCCAGGGGCTTAAGCCGATCCGAGAAGTCCGCGCGGACCTCCGGGTTATGTTTCTGTTACTGTTTTTTCTTGTATTTGCATCACGGCCAATGTCCTGAGCTAATGTTGACGTCCAAAGGGGTCTAAATGGTGAGTTTGACTTCCAAGGGTCTCGCATCCTCACCGCGCATCCGTACTATGGATCTGGGCCGCATTCCCATCTCATGGCACCTCCGCCCCACCGGCCCGCCCTCCCGGGTGGGGATGGGCCCCGAGAATCCGGGAGGAAGAGCCTTTACCTCCACCTGGCAGGCTATACGTCGGCCAGGTGGGCCACGGCCACGCTGGTGGGGGTAGTCACCACCCACCAAACCACCCCAACCCAACCCGAAGGGTCAGATTTACCCTCGATTTCTAGTGGGGGGGGGTCCGGGAACATCGAAAAAACACATATGGAGCCCATACCCCCCCCAACCCGAAATTCGGGTCTTCGGGTTGGGTTGGGGTGGTCTGGTAGGTAGTCAGATAGGGATGGGTCAAACGACGCTCAGTCGCCGCCGCCGTCGCCGCCGCCACACTCGTCGGTTGCGGTCCCCGCTCGTGGCGCGCACCGTGCCGGCCAGCCGCTGGTCGCCCGTGGTCGCCGACGATACCGCCGCCGCCGCCGCCACAGTCTCGCCTGCTGCGGCGCCGCACGCGCGGCGCGCCTCGAGCGCGACCTGAGCGCGACCGGCGGCGCGCCGGCCGCAGGTCTTCCCCGGCGGCGCGGTCGACGCCGGCGAGGCCGCGCCGGACGCGGCGTGCCGTGAGCTGCTGGCCGCCGCCTCGGCCGCCGCGCCCTCTCGGCCCCGGCGCGCCGTGGCGCCGAGGTGCGGTCGGCGGCAGACGGCGTCGGCGGGGGCGCGCCTCGGCGCTCTCCGTTTTTTTTTTTTTTTTTTTTTTTGTTTTCCGGGAAGCAGCCTGTGGACTATATTCAGTGCGCTGCATTCCCAGATCTTGTTCTCTCGCAGGCCGACCGTTTCAGCAGCCACGGATTTGCCAGGCCTCGCCCAGCTTCCGAGAGAAATTGGCATGAACGAACATACATGTTTCGGATCCGTGCTGGGCCCCCTGGCGGCGCCTCCGGCACCGCGCGGAGCGCGCCAGAGAAGGGGGTCCCGCGCAGATCCAAGAACTCCTCGCGGAGCGTCAAACGTTTGTGTGTTTATACACGCCGGTCGTTGAAAGTAGGTATTTTTGGATTCCCAAGTCCCAATCTACTTCAAGCGCCTTCCTACTTCAAGGATCGACATGCTTTTGCTGTGTTTTGTTATTCTCTGGGAGGACCTGGGCCCAATCTACTATATCCGCCTTCCTACTTCATGTTTCTACCTACTTCTTCCGACCGACGTGTACTGTTTTGTCTTCTTCTGCTGGTCTCGTTGTCGTCTTCTGGGGTCTCCTGGGAGGGCCCCGCCGCCACGGCTGGATGCGCCTCGGGGTCCTCGTCAGAGCGCAGCCCAGGAGAGGTGCGGGGAGTAGCTCCCCCATGCTCGAGGTTTCTCGGAGGGATTTCAGGCTCTCGGGCGCAAGTTTTCGGAGTGTTCCACGGGGGGGGCGAGGCCGACGAAGAGGAGTCAGACAGGTCCAGTGGTCCTCCGGAAGCTCTAGGGTGGCAAGCGCAGGTGACATGAGGAGGAACAGGACGAGGAGGAGAAGGCGAGGTGGAAGAGGACGACGCTGCAATCGAGGCCGAGGGCGAAGGCAAGGAGGAGTAATGAGCAGGAGACCTCATCCACCTCAGCCTCTTGATCCTCATCTTCCTCCGCTTCCCTGCCCTCCTCCACACCTTTCCACACTTCACGGTCTTCCGTGCCCTCCTCCTCCTCCTCCCTCCCTCCGTCCCTCCCTCCCTCCCTCCCTCCCTCCTTCCCTCCCTCCCTCCCTCCTCCTCCTCCTCCTCCTCCTCCTCCTCCTCCTCTTCCTCCTCCCTTCAAGCACATCGGCCCAAGCCCTGTAGATCCATCTTCTGGCTCCAACTAGGCTTGGCGTCGGGCTTCGCGCTTCCGCGCAGCGCTTGAGGGGCCCCGTGAAGGGAAGGACTGGATTCCGAAGGAACGCGCAGGTTTCCTGGAGCGGGTGGCGAGGCGAGGCACAGTAATATTTCGGTGGGTCGTGTACGCATGGCAGATTCAGAGGAAGAGCTGCGGCTGTCCACGTGGGAGGCGTCTGATCTTCAAACGGATCATTTGGAGAGGCATTGCGGTCCGATACTTCGGCAAGTGGGTGTGCAGATCTGCAAGCGGGATATACTTCAGCTGTGTCAGGACGCTGCGCTTACTGTGGTGCCGTCCATCGTCACCATCGCATGCATTTTTCCACCGTGTAGTGTTCGAGGTGTGCTTGGCAATCTTTTGGGCAAGTTTTTGTGATGACGAGTTGATGCTACGGAGAGGAGGATTGTGCATGACAGCCTCGCATTTGAAGCAGCAGTGGGACAGCTCCCGAATACCACGGTGGTGTCGATCCTAGACGTTCGGACTGTCTTCGAGCTGCTCGTACACCTTCTGCCGTTGTGTCCTTGAAGTCTATTCCTGCGTACACACCGGTTCAGTGTAATTATGGACCAAATGAGCTTCCACGCCCGTTGGATGGCGGTCACGACTTGGTGGCTCACACCAACACGAAGGGGCCTTTCGACCCGTCACTCCTACGAAGAGAGCAATGGTGAGTTCAATATAGTGGTTATGCGCCTTCAAGCAACACAGCGGCGGTGGCGCGTCCTTGTTCACAGGCCAGTGGGACGGAAGCCTGCGCCACGGATGTGCCATGGGATTCTTCGTCAACCTTTCGCCGATGTCTATTCCACGGGACCCAGCACCACGAGTGGGGCAACCTTTCTCGCTCAAGGTCATGGGCGGCTACATCGGGGTCTACGCGGACTACTGCGATCATGCTCGTGAGCGGCGGGACCCGCAGCTTTTGTCAGAACGGCTAAAGCGTCTCGTGCAGCAGGACGAAGTGGAATAAGTAGTGCCCATTCCAGATATGCAGCCGTACGTCAATCTCAACGCGGCAGTGATGTGGTTGTTTGCGACAGCGGTGGCTCGGCCTCTCAATGGGGTTCAGTAGTGGGTACATTTGTGGCTATCTAAATCTCACGGAGTCTGCAGGGTCTGTCATCGGCTGTCACCCATTGTTATGTAGAGGCAGCTTCGGTGCGTTTCGGCGGTGGGTCCATCAGGCTGTATACGTATTTTGCAGTGGTCAATCGTGCTCCCTTCGGGGTTTCTGAATTGGTGTTCGTGGTTGTCTTGCCGATTTTGTTGCGCGCAGATGTCCTCAGCTACCGCGCCATTGTCTCCCGCGGCCGCTCGGGGTGGTATTTTTTGTGCAGGCGGGCCTTCAGCGCAGCCGCCATCAGCTCCCATGTCGTTCTCTCCCACAGCCGCCGGGGGAGGCATGTCCTGTTGGTGGGCGCTGCAGGAGTACAACTCTGCGCGATTGCAAAGCGTGCCGGGCTAGCTGCATTTTGGGGCATACACGGGGTCAGCAGTTTGTGGGCGACCGCAGAGTGTCACTTTCGTTTACAGCTGGTCTGACAATTTTGGGTCACAAATGTGGGGGGCTGTCTGACTTCGTTGTCGCGGCCGTCTTGTACCCGTTCGCGGTGTTTCTCTATTGGGTCGTCTCGTGCGCGGGTGATTCCAGGAGGTGGCCTTCGCATTCAACTAGCATGCGCCAGCGCTTGGTTTCTCAACTGGAAGGAATGAACCTGTTGGTTGGTAATTCGCGGCTGCGCCACTGTCATGCGAGGCTGCATGTGGATGGGGCGATCTTTATGATCTACGTGAGAGGTTGCCCTGTTATCTTCGGTAGGGCCGAATCTAACCGAGCGCATTTCAGCTTAGCTCGCCATGTTTCGTTGTCGAGGGTGTTAGTTAATGTTGTAGGGACTCACAATGGTATGTTACCATGGACTCCGATGCCGTGTTCTTCTCGTACCTCTCGTTGGGGCTCTTCTGCTGGTTCGTCGCGTTCGCGGGTGAGCTCAGGGGGGGGCCTTCGCATGTAGATATGATTATAGTGGCTCCTGTCAAGGCGGTAATCCAGGTAAGCCTCCTCCTCCTCCTCCTCCTCCTCCTCCTCCTCCTCGCCTCCCTCCCTTGCCGTTCCCTGTATTTTCCACCCTAGACCCTGGATCCCCTCTCCTCCTCATCCTCTGCCTTTTTCCCATTCTTCCATGGGCGCACATGCTGAGCGCGGACGGTCCCAGGCTACAGTGGAGCATGTGCTGCTTGAGTCGCGGCGTTGATGGAGGGGCGCCCTTCCCCCGGGGAGCCGCAGCAGAACCAAACACCAAAGCCCAATCGACGCATCACTGGCACGGGCAAGGCGCCGAGAACTGGCAGCGAGCAGGAGCACAACAAGCACCCTCCCGACGCTCCCTCCATCCGACCTCAACTCCCTTACCCGCTCTCGCACAGCCCCCCCTCCCTTCAATTCCCCCCCTGCTGACTCCCCACCAGGAGGGGGGTCCGAAAAGGGCAACTGGGCGGGGCAGGGGGGGAGAGAAGGGGCATGGAAGGAAGGGCCTTAATGACGGGTGGGGAAGAGAAAAGAGAGAGAGAGAGAGAGGGGGGGGGGGGGGCGAGAGCGAGAGAGGGAGACAGAGAGAGAGAGAGAGAGAAATATGCAGAAGGGGCATGGAAGGAGGGGCCTTAAGACGGGCGAGGGGGAGAGAGAGAGAGAGATGGCGAGAGCGAGAGAGAAAGAGGAATAGTGATACAGATGCAGAGAAAAATATACAATGATGCAGAAAGATCTGTCGGCGCCGTCCGCCACGGTGACGGGGTCGTGAACAGGAGACCTCTTGGATATTCGCTGATTGGGGGCCTCTTTGGGAGCCCCCTTCTGGGCCCCAGAGAGGCACCAGAGTCTAGGGCCTCTTTGAGGCTTTTTGGGGATTTCAATTTGGGGCCTCCTGGCGTTTCTTGCGGGGGGGGCCCAAGCGATTCCAGGCGCTCCCAGACGCTTTCAGACGCTGTCAGGCTCCCACGCGCCGACAAACATCCCCACGCGCTCCAAGGCGCCCCCAAGCGTTCCCAGACGCTGCCTAGCGCTTCTATTCCCAGGCGCTCCCAGGCGGTTCAGGCCTTCCCAAGCGCCCTCAGGCGCTCTCAAACGCTCCCAGGCGGTCTCATAAACTCCGAGAGACACTCATGCGTTCCCAAGCGCTCCCAGGTGCCCCCTTGCCCTCCCAGGCGCACTCTCAGGCGCTGCGTCATGGCGGCATTTTTTCCAAGGGATCGCGTTCTCGGGAACGCAAGTCCGTTGGCTTTAGACTGAATATCGGCCTCGAGAGCGATGTCAGCAAGGCGGGTCGCATATCTGTTATCCAGAATCGCGGCCTCGGGAGCATTCTACAGGGTGCGTGTCAGGAATAGCGGCCTCGAGAGAGCGCCGCGTGCGTGCTTCACGAGGGGGCGCCGCAGTTGTTGTCCAATTGCGCGGGAGTTTCTGAGAGTTCCTAAACAGGATTGTAAGCAGGTGGGGTAGTCGAGCGACCCTCTGAGACTGTTCCAGGCCAAGCATCTCCAGAGAGGGAGTCATCGTTCCTGTGCTACGCACAAAGGAGAGAAAGGCGTAGCCCGCTCCCGCACCGCTCGGAGACGGGTGAGCTAATCGTTTCCCGCCGACGCAATTCAGCTGCTGCTCCGCGGCCCGCTCCAACCATCAGTCTTTCGCTGCCTGACGATAGTCAGAAGCGGCGCTCTCTCCTGAGCGCCAGGGGGAGAGAGAGGGAGGGAGAGATTGAGAGATAGAGGGAGAGAAACAAAAAAAACAGTGCGACCGTACCTAGGAGTTGGAGCATTTAGGAAAGCAGCATCTACATCTACACACTGCTAAGGTATGCTATGATATGCTGCGCTATGAAATGTTATGCTGAGCTATGCTATGCTATGCTATGCTATGCTTGGCTATGCAGTGCTATGCTGTGCTGTGTCAATGCTGCGCTAAGCTAAGGTAAGCTATGCTAAGCTGGGCTAGGCTAGGCCAGGCTAAGCTAAGCCAAACCAAGCTAAGCTCAGTTAAGCCAAGCTAAGCTAAGCTAAGATGAGATAAGCTAAGCTAAGCTAAGCTAGGCTAGGCAAAGCTAAACTAAGCTAAACTAAGCTAAACTAAGCTAAGCTAAGCTAAGTTGGGATAAGCGAAAGCTAAGCTCAGCTAAGCTAAGCTTAGCTAAGCTAAGCTGGGTGAACCCAGGGGGCGCAACTGGGGGAACCGCGGGGCGGGGACTGGGGGAACCGCCCGGGGCGGCCTACACTGCCCGGCCCCTTTAAGCAAACCAAGTAAGAACCCTCTAGGCAGAGCCTAGGTAGGGAACAACGCCCCTTCTGCGTTTCTCTCAACCGAGGAGGAGACGGGCGTGAAGTTGCGCCGGGAGTCGCTCGAGTTCCTTTGCGCCTACCAGGCCCGCGGGGGGGGGGGAGGACGGGAGGTGAGGAGGAGGAGGGATGACGAGGCGGAGGGGGGAGGGGCGAGGGCCCCTTCCAACCATCCCTTCCCAGTGCGCTGAGCTTTCGCTATCCACCGACGCGTGGCATAGTGGACCTGGAACCCAAAAGGGCACCGTCGTGCTGTGCGAAGCCAGTTACGGTGAGGTGTGTACATTCGAGGAGGAGGAGGAGGAGGAAGAGGAGCAGGAGGAGGAGGACCAGTGTGAACCAAAGTCTCATCAACGATATTGGAAGAAACCCTCCCTCCACGCTCCCTCTTCACAGGCCCCTATGAGGGTGCATTTCCAAAGGGATCTGCCTCGTTGGGAGACAATCGTTTGAAGACCCTGTAGCGCGCCAAAACATCATTCTCGGGATTCCGACGCCACAAATCAACATGATTGTTGTGTCTTGGCGACCCCGAGCTGTGCCAGAATGTTCTTCGTGTGATTTCTGAACACCGCGAGTCAACAAAGCTGCTGCGCCCTCACAGTCTTGAGCCCTTCCAAGACACAATGTCTGACACATAAACCATGGGAATATGTGGAATTCTGGCAAACGTTTGAAACGAACGTGCGCGGCGCTGAGGCGAGAGCCACATGTTGAGAACCACCCGCCCTCCATCCGTGAAACTCTTGCATATATTACAAACGACTGTGCGCAGCGCTAAGGCGAGAGCCACGTTTTGAAAACGACCAGCCCTCAGTCCGTGAAGCTCTTGCAAGGTGTTCAAACACATGTGCGCGGCGCTGAGGCGAGGGCCACATTTAAAAAAAAGCTCCCACCCTCCATGTGTGAAATTCTTGCCATTGGTTGGAGCTTCATGGTCACAACTTGCGAGGAAGTCTCACGCGAAACGCCTGGCCCGCTGCTTCGACCGGCCTCGGGGTGTGACAGGGAGCAGCCAGTAAAAAGGAGAGGGAACGGAGGAAGGGTACGAACGAGAGGGGTCAGCAGCGGGAGCAGGACTGGGAGGAGCGGGAAGATTAGGAGGACCAGGAGAATGCGCAGGAGGGCAAAGGAGCGGGGAAACAACGAGCAGGAAGAATTCAGGTCCAGAGAAAAAGGCCCGCGATGTCGCGCTGTTGCGAAGGCTTCATGGCCGCAAACCGCCCATCCTCAGGTGAGGCCCACACTGCAACGGGAGCACCACTGCAACACTGAGGACATCTTGAGTCCACACGAAAGCATACAAACGATACGCTTTTTCAGATCCTGTGCGCAATATCAATGCACGGGGAGGGCGCAATGCCCACTGAACGTCTGCGGGGGAGAGGAGAGTAGTACTGAGAATGAAAGTAACTATGGAGGGAGGAGGACGAGGACGAGGAGGGGAGGACGAGGGGCAAAAGTGGAGGCGGGGACGGGAAAAGGAAGCGCGACGAGGAGGAGGAGGAGGAGGAGGAGGAGGAGGAGGAGGAGGAGGAGGAGGAGGAGGAGGAGGAGGAGGATGGCGTCGATCCTTGACGACTTCGAGGCACGGGAGCTGCACTCGCCGATCTCGATTGAATGCAAACCGCAACGTAATTAGCTGCTGCCTGTGAGGAAGCTCCTCGTTGGCCGAAACACCAGAAACACCAGGATGAGGATCACCAGCAGCATCAGGAGGACCGGGAGAGCAGGAGTGGGCATTCCTCGCCAGCCTCCCTCCTCTTCCGTTTTGATGGTCCTCCCCGTTTGCCTCGTCGTCTCCTAATGGTCGTTCTCCTCGGCCGTGCCGCATTTGTCCGACGCGCAGCCAGGCCAGGAACGAGGCGCTGTGCTTGACCTACCTCATGCTCATCTACTCTGGGGAGGCGGAGGCGCCAGGGCGACCTCGAGGTCCCTTACCATACCCTGAAGTCGGGCATGCCCCTCTGTAGGATGAAAACTCAAAAATAGTCCAAAAATAGTCTGGGGACGTTTTTTTCAATTATTTTTGGAGTGTTTTTGAATTTGTGCTGACTAAGTGTATTTCTTCTTCCAAAATCCGCCTGCCTGTAGGAGGACATGCCCGACCAAACCATACCCTTTTCCTCCCTCACCCCCTCCGTCACCACCCCACCCACATCCCCATGTCCCCCCTCCTCCCCCCTCGGCGCGCAGAAGGGGGGCAGGTGGAGGGAGGAAGGCGACTTAGAAGCACACCTGCTTCTCAGAAGGCGCGGCCCATGTCTGTAGATGAAGGGCCGGCGCCTTCTAAGGGGCAGCCTCCGTCTAAGAAGCTTTCCCCCCTCCCCCATACCTCCCTCTGCGCGCCACCAACACATGCCCCCCCCCCTCTCCGTCCTTTTCTCCGCCCATGTCCATCCCCCTCCTCCTCCTCCTCCTCCTCCTCCTTCTTCTTGCTTCTCTGCTGCACCCCTCGCCGCCGCGCGCCTTCTTCGGTGCACTGGCGCTTCCGACGCCGGGAGGTGGCGGGAAAGCCAGCTGCGTGAGCTGCTTTGCTAAGCCCCCCCTCTGATATCCCCACCTTCATCCCATCCAGGAGGGGGAGGAAAGCTCCAATGCCGTGGCAGGGGGTAGTGTTGGCCCCCCCCACCCCGTCCCGCACCATCCCCTCCACTCTCCCGCACGAACCCCTCCCCCCCTCGCCTCGGTCCCTCGCCCCCGCTCCCCCCTGCGTCTCTCCATCCTTCACTCCCCCCAACGCTCGCTCCCCCGGGCTCTCCCCTGCACTCCCCCCTCCACTCCGTGCCTCCCGCGTCGGTGTCCCGTCCGGTCCCCCTCCGCAGGTCGGCGGTGTGTTTGATTGTTCGCCAGGTCGCGCTGCTGGAAATCTCCCGGTGGCCGTCGGCCCATGCCGCCGCCGTGGCTCGGTCGTGGACGAGAGGCCTGTCAGATTTCTGGTTCGAAGGTTTTTGGAAGGCCTCTCGGGAGGCCTCCCAGGAGGCCCGTTTGGCCTCGTGGAGGTCTCTCTTTTGGCCTCGCGGGAGGCTTTGGAATCCTCCGGAGGTGTTGGTTAGAGTATCCCTTACAGGGCCCTTCTTTGCGGCCTCGGTGGCCAGCTTGGAACGATATTGGGGGGCCCTGGGGCCGGCTTGGACGCTCTTGAGACCAAAAGGCTGAGTCTCAACCAGTGGCGCAGCGTCCTGGTTTGCGTATTGGCCCACCAAAGAATGTTCTAAGAACCTTTTGTGCTCTGCACAGAATGTTCTTTGAACATGTTTGGTCGAGTCTGTTTTGTTGCAACACATTGGGATTATGTTCTAAGAACACTGGTTGTTAGAAGATTCTTGGGTTCTCGTGGCAGGCCCATGGGAATGCCGGGACGGTCGGTCCCTGCTCAAGAGTCTGCCAGATCATGCAAAAGCCAGAGGTTGTTCAATGAGTCTGGCCTCGTGGGCCTGCCACCACGGCCTCCAAGAGGGCCCCACATGCGCCCAAGGGATCCACGTTGGAAGGATGGGTGGGTTCCCAGCCACGCTCTGGCCAAGTGCCCGCCCGTGGTTGCCTCGTGGACTCCCCGTGCGCAGGCGTGCACCACAGAAGCTGTGCCACATTGCTCGCGCAGCATACACCACACAGCTTGCACCGCATAGCCTACACCACGTAGATTGCACCACATAGCGTGCACAACCACATAGCTTGCTCCGCATAGCTTACGCCGCACAGTTTGCGCCCTCTACTGTGCACCACAGAGCTTGAACCACGTAGCGTGCACTGGATAGCTTGCATCATCTAGCTTGCACCACATAGAGTGCACCACGTTCAACTCCGTGCTGTGCGGGCTACGCCCCCTCTCTCACGAAAGGCAGCGCTTCCTTCTTGCGCGATCCGTCTCCGCTGATTTGGCACCTCCCGCTGAATCCAGTCGCGCCCGTACTCACAAATCCAATCCCCACCCCTCCCTCTTCCATTTCACCCCCCCTCCCCCCCTCCCTCCCATGCTGCTTGGGCTGGCTGTGGTGCCCAAGCCTCGAGCTGTCTTGTGATAGTTGTCCTCCATCTGCCCCTTCTTCCCGCCCCCTCCCTTGTGTTGTCGCCGTCGTCCTCCTCATCATCGTCCTCCTCACAACAACTCGTCCCTGTCGCTCCCCCTCCATCTCTTTTCCCCCCCCTTCCCTACCCCCCCCCGCTCTTGCTCTCCCTTCGCGGTTCTCCCCCGCCCCATTCCCGCAAGAGGCTAGTTTTGATCGGGCCTTCTTTTGGAGGGAGAGGGGCGCTTGCGGGCAGACAGTTTTCCAAACGCGCGCCGTTGATGTTGACCAGCACCTCGTCGGCCTACCCGTTGTCTTCTCTCGTCTTTGCGACCGCCGTCGTCTCCACGTTCCTCGTTGTCCTCCTCGTCATCCTCTTTGTCCTCTTGCTCCACGTCCCCTTCGCCCTCGGGTGGCCCTTGAGGGCCTCCTCATGTCCTCCTCGTCATCCTATTTGTCCTCCTCGTCATCCTATTTGTCCTCCTCGTCATCCTCTTTGTCCTCCTCGTACCACGTCCCCTTCGCCCTCAGGTGGCCCTGAGGGCCTCCTCAGGCTCTGTCCTAAGTGTGGGCAGCTCGCGGAGGGTCAGCGGGCCAAAAGGCTGGCCCACCTGTTACAGAACCAGAAGGCAATGGTACAGAGTTGGCAGGTCCTGCTGCTACAGCCACTGAGGCATGGGCTTCCAGGTGGCGGCGCGTGGCGGACGAGACCCACCCGTATGTCATGTGCTGGTCTCGTGTGCGGCGGGGCAAGACGCCACGATAGTGATACGTTCCAGGAGTTTCAGGATTTCCCAGAGATGTTGATGTTCCACACGGGCTGCAGAAAGCAGAAAGGAGGGCTGCTAGATACTCCAGAATTCCTGGAACGTATCTTGGGCCAATCGCATCATGAGATCATTATGGTATCAATCTTTCGCTCCCCCAAGTTTCCCCGCCATTTGTACCTATCCCGGCGCGTGTGGTGCGGCCCACGAGTCTCCTCCCCTTCCCTTCTTCCAGCCTTTTGTTCGCCTCCACTCTTCCTCCTCGCCCGTTTCTCCCCCCTCTGCCCTCCCCCTCCTCGCCCTCCCATCTTCCTGCCCGCTCCCCGCTCGTCCCCCGCCTGCTGGAGTCAGGAGCCGTGCCCGCTGCGCCTGTCGAGGAAGGAGGTCGCCCAGGCCCCCCATCCCTCCAGGGTCCCCCCCCCCTAACGAGGGGGAGACCTTGGGGCAGGCAGCGCCAGGACGACGACGACGACGGCGACGGCGACGACGACGATGAGGACGAACGGGGTGGGTGAGGGAGAGGGGGCAGGAAAGAGAGAGAGAGAGAGTCGAGCACGATGGAAAACCACATGAGCATGGGCCTTCGGAGCTCCGCGCGGATTTCTCGGATCGGCGCTGGGCCCCCAATTGGCGCCGGCTCCGGATCCGCCCTTCGCGCGCTCCGCGCGCCAGAGAGGAGGTCCAGCGCCGAGCCACGAATTCCGCTTTGACCTGTGGGGAACATACGTGTATATGCCGTTGTGTGTGTTCCTCCATAAAGAAAGAAAGAGAAAGAAAGATTGAGAGGGAGAGAGAGGGGGAGAGAGAGAGAGAGGCGGGTGAGACAACTTCATCTTCTATGTGTTTCCCTACCCTCGTGTTTTTGGGCTCCCGTTTTGGATATAGCACTGTGGTCTCCGTCCCCCCCCAGTCATTTCTTCTTCCCCGTCGCCTCCGACCTCCTCCTGCACCCGTGCCTTTCCTTCGGGGGGGAATTGTCGCAGCTTTCGTGGGCTCCCGGCCGGCACGGCGGGATGCAGGGCCACGCGTGTCGAGTCGAGGCCGCGCGGTTCCCTCGGAGGCTGCGAGTTGCGCAAGGATCGCCCTTTCCGTGGGTTCTTGAGAGGCCTGGCGGAGGGGAGGGCAGCGCGGAGAAATCGCCAGCAGAGCGGATCACCGAGGTCTGTCGGAGATCCGCGGGGTGGCGCCAGTGTCCATTTCAGGGGCGATCGCGCGTCACGTGGCGCATGGTGCTGTCCTTGGTGACCAACTCCCCCTTGCATCCTCAAGTGCTTGCCGCCCTCAGCGGCAGTACGGGCGAACCGAGCAGATGTATCGCATGACGCTTCTATTATCACTTGTCTAGCTTCCCCTTCCTTCTCCATCCTACTCTTCCCTTCTCATACTTAGTATGTACTCCGTGGTGTGTTCACTGGCGAGTTTCAGTGTCGCCGTGTTTTGTGCGGTCTGCAATGCGCAGGTGTGATGGCGAATTGGGACAGCAGCGCGCGTGGCCCAAGTTTGGTCGGCGATGTGTTCGAGAGTGCGGCATCTATCTCAGCGTGTTTTTTTGTTTGGATCGGTCTCACTCATAGTCGCCTCGCAGGGAGAAGGGTTTGGGTTCGTCTCTGGTACGACACTGTTCTTTCCCAACCCTCTTGTGTTGGGCATTCGTTTTATATCGCAGTGTTCGCGCGCCTCCATCCTTCCTCCCGCATCCTCCCTCCTGCCTTCTCCTTTTCAATGTGTGCCGTCCTCCTAATAGCAAACACGCTCAACTTTTGCCACCTTCGTGGGCTCCTGTGAGGTCCAGCGGAAGCAATAGTCAGGCGAGACCTCGGGGTCCCTTGGGAGGCTGCCAAATGCGCAAATAAAGTCGCCAGTTTCGTGGGCACCTGGGAGGTCCACAGGAGGCGGTAGTTCGGCGAGACCTGGCGGTGTCTTGGGAGGCTGCCAATCGTACAACAGTTGCCACTTACAAGGATTCCCGGGAGGTCCAGCCGAAGCGTTGGTCAGGCGAGGATTCGCGGCCTCCTGGGAGGCTGCCAACTACGCAACCGTCGCCAACTGCGCAACTGTCGCTCTTCCGCCTGCCTCCTTCAGCCGCCGTGCCTCCTGATCAGCCCCCAATGCGCGTGACGGGGTCAGCAGAATGCCAGCTTCACCACGAAGCAGGAAGAGAAGGAGGAGGAGGAGGAGGAGGAGGAGGAGGAGGAGGACGACGACGACAACGAGACGGCGGCTTCGGCAGCGGGGCCGACCGCGACCAGCGGTGGCCGGCGACCGCGCTCGGCGGTGGCGTCGGCAAAGATGCTGACCCAGACCGGCGTCGGCGCTGGCGGCGGCGGCCACGGCAGCGGCGACGACGGCCACGGCGGCGGCCACGGCCACGGTGGCGGCGGCAGCGGCGACGGCCACGGCGACGACGCAGCGATGACGGCGGCGGCGTCACCTTAGGGCCCGCAGGCCGCCTACCTCACCTCGGCCGCGGCCGACCTGCTTCTGCGCGGCGCCCCGGCAGCCGAGCCCGGCAGCCCGGAGGCGCCGCCTCCAGGGGCAGGGAGGGGGGATTCGACTAGACCTAAGAGTGACCTTTCGCCAGAGTGACCTCTGGTGCGGGCCCAGAGGCCAATGGGGTCCCCCGATCGCTGAGCGCGCAGCGGTAGCAGCGGCCCGCGCGTCTCGGTTTGGCCACCCCGCGTCCCCCTTTCAGCCGCGCGCCAAAGGTCACTCTTGCCCAGGGTCACTCTTGCCCAGGGTCCCCACTCTTCATCCTCCTCATTCTTCCCCTCCTCTTCGTCCGCATCCCCCTTTTCAAATAGGGGAAGAGCAGGAGGAGGAGGAGGAGGAGGAGGGGACGACGCCGACGCCGACGCCGACGCCGCGGTCGCCGACGACGTCGCCGTAAGCGAGCACCACAGCGGCGACAACGACGACGGCAGCGAAGACGCAAGCGACCCAGGGGGTCGCACCAGCCCGCTGGGAAGTGGACGACGGAAACTGATTCCCGAGTCGTCGTCGCTGTCGAGGCCGAGGCCGCAACCAGCGACCCAGACGATAAACAATTATTTGTTGATGGTCGATGCCAAATGCGTTGTTCAACCGTTGTGTCGCATTGCGTCAATATTTGGTCCAGCGACGCGACAGGAAGAAGCATGGTGCCCGTGAGCGGGGGGCACATCCTGCGGCAGGAAGGTCTGCGAATTGGGGTGCAGGTCTGGATTCTCGTGTTGGTATGTGGCGTGAGTTTGCGCGCTCTTGCACGGTGCATGCTGCTTGTTTGTTGTGCTCGCCCAGTGGCGCATGTACCCGCATTTTCTTGCACGCGAGTCGCCCCGCGTTGTCCACCAATTTGCTACGCCTGATGAGATCAGCGCTGAGCATGGCCCGCTTTAGCCGCTCCTTGCAACGTCTTTCGGCCGTTTGAAGACAAGGGTATGTGTGCTTTCTGTCGGCCGAGCAGAATCTGAGAACCAGACCATTCACTTGGCCGTGGCTGATCGGTGCGGGGCAGTGGGGACGAGATAAAAGAGAAGTGGGGGAAGCCCCCCCTTCCCTCCTCTCTGAGAGGGACCATGCTCAGGGGCGCGTTCGCTGCGAGCTGCCGCGGGTCGGGCCCGGAGACGCCGCGCATCGGGGTTCCATCCAATTCCCCCTCCTCTCGGCCTCCTCCTCCTCCCTCCTCCTCCTCCTCCTCATCCTCATCCTCCTCTTCCGCCTCCTTCCCTCCCCCTCCTTTCGGCCTGCTCCGCATTACTCACCCTCGTCCTCATGTATGGTGTTGAGCGTTGGCTGTGGCGTAGGGTTCCTCACCACTGGCCTGAGGCTGCAGGCACCGCATAGGTCTGGATTCGCTTCTCTCCCTCCCAGCAGGTGCGCGCCGAGGGTCTGCCGGGGCCCTGTCGTGGGGCCCTCGGCCCCCCAAGCGCAAGTTCCAGGCTGGCTGTTCGCCCTCAGGCGAATCTGGCTTTTGTGGAGCCGAGTGCGGCACGCTTCGTCACAGGTTCTACGACTGCGAGGTTGCATTCGCCTCCCTTGGAGAGGACAAGCAGGCAAGCTAGCTGTTTCCAGATGGTGGCGGGCAGCACAAGCAGCAAGAGTGGGAGCAGGGGGTCTCTCCTCTTGGGGTTCGGACTGGGATGGTGCTCCTCTCCTCTACGGCCTTCTCCGTGTTGTTGTGAGGTTTCCGCCGCCGCTGGACAAATGTCCCGTGCTCGAATGGGGCGTCAAGCAAGGTTTCTGGGGCCCCGTGCTGTTCACCGACTGTCGTAGTAGAGCAGGTTCTTGCCCCGAGGCGGCCAGACGTGGCTGGAGCGTGGTTGAGATCACAGTTGATGGTTGACCTCTCCGATCGAAGTTCAGAGGGGTGCCAGGCCAGTTCCAGACAGATCCACGAGGCGAACGTTGGGCAGGGTTCGGGGCCATGCGCGTTGGGCCGCCCGGCGTCACCATACGTAATTGGTGGCCACGTAAGTTTTGTCAGAGAGGCTCAGGCTTGAGGTGCTCAGCTCGAGTGTGGCCTCTCGTGGCACGCGTCAGTCTGGCGTAAGATCTTTCGTCTAGTCGAGAGGCAGCTTGCAGGCCGCAGCTCGTGTGGACCCCAGCGCACATTACGTTTCGGGGACTCGTGAATTCAGGGGACTCAGCGGATGAGTTGCACCGTTTAATGGAGCAATGCTTCGGAGTATTCGTTTGCGAAGTTGGGAGCCCAGGCCGTGGTTGCTACACAAGTCGTGGTCGATGCGTTGAAAGTTGCACTTCAGGATTGCAGGCTCACATTTGAATTCCTGGACAGGGCAGTTCAGTTGATAGATTCTTGTCTCAAAGCTCAGGAGGCCTCATACCCGCAGGCTCAGAAGGCTCCTAAGCACAGTAAGCTTACCGTCATGATTCATGATCCTGTGTTTTGGTCGCTGCTCTTCCGTTGTTGAGTGCAGGAGTTGTGTGGCGGTTGCGAGGGCCCCTATCAAGGGCCATGACGATGTTCCAACCTGTGGCGAAGCGCGACCCCATCTCATGCTCCAGGCCCTTGCCTAGATTGTTGAGCTGACGGGGTGGCGCTCTCACACTAGGGCGCGGGGAAGGTTAGGTTGTTGTTGCTGCTGTTGTTGTTGGTGGTGTTGGTTTAGGTGGTGGTGTTGGTGTTAGTGTTGTTGGTGTTGTTGGTGTTGTTGTTGGTGGTGTTGTTGCTAATGTTGTTGTTGATGGTGCTGCTGTTGTTGTTGATGCTGCTAACGCTGATGATGTTGTTGCTGTTGCTGTTGCTGTTGCTGTTGCTGTTGTTGTGGTTGCTGTTGTTGTTGAGAGAGGGTGGTAGAGGTGAACGGACTTCTCTTCGAGTGCGACGGCCACAAGGTCCATCTTTTTGGATCGTACGTCTCATGTATTTTGTGCGGGGCTCGGAAGGCCGTTGGGTCCCCGAAATTTGACAGCGGGACCCGTGTCCCCTGGGCCCCCCGAATCTTGCTCGCTGGCGGGCCTGTGATTGGTTAACCGATTGCAGGCGCCCTTGGACATGAACCGTCCTCACCAGCTCCTAACTCGCTTGATTTTCACTAGTTCTGCTTCGTGGTTGACGCCTCTCCCCTTGAGGCGCCTCACTCTCCGTGCTGTGGCGTTTGTGCGACTCGTTGCTTGCACGTTCTATGCTGCGTCCTGCGTCATCCTCCGCACGTCATCGTCATCGTCGTCAGCATCATCACCGTCACCATCATCCTCACCATCGCGATCCCCCCCCCCACCCGCCATCCCTCATCCCTCCGGATCGGATCCTCCTCCACCCCCCTCGACATCCTCCTCCCCTCCCTCCTCCCCCCTCCTCCCCCCCGCAGCTGACGCGCGAGGGAGGTCGGCGGGGCTCCGCACGGCACCTCCTCGCCCCATCCTCGGCCCGCCGGCCCGCGGAGGCGGCGTCTTCGACGACGACGACGACGACGACGCCGCCGCCGACGCCGGCGAGGGGCGCCCCGCGGGAGGCCCACGCGCGGGGCCCCCCCCCCCGAGGAGGAGCCGCTCGAGCGCGCACGCCGGCGCGCGGAGGGCGGAGGGCACCCGCGGCGAGGGGCGGCGGCGCGGGCGGCGGCGCGCGGGCGGCGGCGGCGGCGGGGGGCAGAGCTCGGCCCGAGCGGTGAGGGCTCGTGTCGAGGAGGAGGAGGAGGAGGAGGAGGAGGAGGAGGGGGACGAGGAGGAGGAGGAGGAGGAGGAGGAGGAGGAGGATGCCTCCGAGTCGGCTCGGTTCGATGTCGGTGGCTTCCGATTCCGAGCCGATGCGACTTCGGGAGAGTCCGATTTGGGTTCCGATCCCTTACTGGAGGCATACCAGCCTGCCGATTTCCACCGATCCGACTTCTCTCGACTCGGCTGCCGATTTCCGCCGATCCGCCTTATCGATTCGGTTCTGGGCTCGCACTAAACGGTGTTTTGGCGATTTCGTGGACCGTTTTCGTCTCGACTTCGTTTTGCAGCAGAGGCGGACGGAAGACAGAACGAGGAAAGACGGAAACAAAACAAAAACGATCAACAAATGTTCAGGTCGGTCCCTGGCGGGGGGCGCGCGCGCGCCCGCGCGGCAGGGGCGGGCGCTCGTAGACGGCGTGGCCCACGGCGCTTTGGAGGAGGAGCTGGTCAGCAGGCCGGCGGGAGGGGGAGGGAGGGACTCAAGGCACGGGGGTCCATGCAAGCGGGGGGTCAATCAGAGCGCCGGATCGTGCAGGATCCTGCAGAGCCAAGGTTACACTGACCCGGGTTTGGGTGCAGGTTCTTGCAGGATCCTGCAGGATTTTGCAAGATCTTGCGAAGCTCGACTGACCCTGGTTTGGATTGACCCAGGTCAGTAGATCCCCGAGGGGAGGACGGATGTTCATAGTTCGGTCGGGTCGGTTGCATCGCAGTCGGTTGCGTTCGGTCGGTTCGGTTCGGTCGGTTAGTGTGTCAGTACCGCGTCGTTGCGCCCGTCCAGGTTGTTCTAGGCATGTCGCTTGGTCGGCCTGGGTTTCGCTGTCCGTCCGGTCGGTTTTCAGTGTTGTTATCGCCGTGCACGGTTTTGGGGAGGATGAGAGGAGATGATCCAGACCTCCGAGATGGGGTCCGAGCAGATGGCGTCGGAGGATCGCGCCGCATCGCCAATGCATCGGCGATGCGGCTTGCTATGGAGCCCGGATTTCTCCACACCGACGTCGCCGATGTTTTTGCGAAACATTGGCGATGCGGCGGGATCTTGCAACCCCACTTAGGAGGCCTCTAGATGAGGATGAAGATGAGAGCGTTTTGCTAGCGACCTCTGTGGTCGCTAATGTGGAAAAGGCCCGACCTCAAGAGGATCCACCACATTCGCCACGGCCAGGAAACTCCGAAGAGACGAGAAGAGGGAGGAGAGGGAGGATGAGGAGGATAAGAAGGAAAAGTAAAGAGGAGGGAGGAGAGAGGAGGGAGGATCCACGGACCAAACTGCCAGGCCTGCTAGCGGGCCGCCATTGCCAGTACCTCAAGCGAGTCGTGGCTAAGCCGAAGAACTGCAAATGTGGAACACCCATTGCTTGCGGCGCACCCCAACTCGCAGCCTGTTGCAGGGGGGGTGCTAGATAGGGGCCCAGCCTGCCAAGCAGCCCTCCAAAAGCTTCGAGGTGCTAGCCTGGTACACGCTGCGAGCACGTGCTGGCTTGTGCTGTTCGCGCGTGCTGGGACGCGCACTCCAGCCCGCGCATGTTCCTCCTGGCGCGGAGCACTGGACCTCATTGCAGGTCGGCAGGGGTTGGGCAGGGCGGTGGGGGTGCAGGAGTGCTCTGAGGGAGCGGGAAGGCCGCTCTTGAGGCAAGCTTGTTGTGGCAAGAGTCTGGCCTCGCTTGCGCGGGCCGAGGTCCAGCTGGGATGGGCGCGGGTGGAAGGAGGGCCGCAGGGAGTAGAGGAAAGGAAAGGACGGGGAGGGAGAGACGGAGGGCGAGGGGGGCAGACGCGCCGGGCGCGATCTGCCTTCCTCGACAACAATGTGGATGAAGCAGAGAAGTCAGAGCCCCGAATTATCAGGGGTAACTCGGGTCAGGGATAACTCGGGTTCGTTTTTCGGGAATCCAAACCCGAGTTACCCCGGACCCGAGTTACCCCGGATAATTCGGGCGTCCAGAGCCCCGAATCATCAGGGGTAACTCGGGTCAGGGCTAACTCGGGTTCCTTTTTCGGGAATCCAAACCCGAGTTACCCCGGACCCGAGTTACCCCGGATAATTCGGGCGCCCAAAGAAGGCAGGGCATGTCTGTCAGACAGTAAGCCGGGTCGCAGAGGCGCTTCCAGCAGGCAGCGCGCGATCTGGCAGTTCTCGGGGACGAGGAAGAGGAGGACCAGAGGGAACCTAAGATGCATCAGCGATGCTATGCTGTTCCATCCAGCCCTGGTAGGCCCCGCCTCATGAGTCCCTGAAGGCCTTCCCTCTCGCAAAGCGCCACCTTGAAAGACCAGCTCTCCATGGTTCTGCCATCCGGGCGAGAAGCCCCGTGGGGAAAGGAGTTGTCCCGCATCGGAACAAGCGAAGAGGTACTGTCATACAGACCAACGAGGTGTCCAGCGATACGCCCAAAAATTGGATAAATACCACCCCCCAGGGCTCCACCTGTGCAACTGTTGCACGAGTTTACACTTCTGGTCATTGACGTCGAGGAATTCTCAAGCGAGAGCCCCATTTTCAAAAAAAAGGAACCGCCCTCAATCAGTGCAGCGATGCCTGGCGTTCAAATGCAAGGTAGTGTCAAACGAAAATGCCCATGTCCAAAACGGAGCCACCCTACATACGTGTAATTGCTGCACGCGTGTAAGACGAAAGTGTGCGGCGATAGCCCCATGTTGAAAAGGAAACGCCATCCATCTTTGACTGTGGTGCTAGTTTTCCGAACGGACGTGCGGGAATCTCAGGCGTGCGCTACATTCTGAAAAGGCACCTCTTCCATCCTTGAGTTTTGTGTGCAATTTGAAAACTAACGTACGCGGCGCTATGGCGAGAGCCTCATGTTGAAAACAACCGTTGCTTCATCATTGAAACTACTATGACATTGCAAGATATATGCGCGCGGCGCTAAGGCGATGACCCAAGTGTGAAAACGATCCACCCCTCATCCTTGAAGCTGTTGCAGAGGTTCAAGACGAATGTGCTGGGCTCTCAGGCGCGAGCTTCATTTTGAAACGACCTCCCATCCATCCCCGAAGCTGGCGCGCATCCCGAGTATCAGGAACACCACATGGTAGGAAAGCATCCGGCCGAACACGCCCGACCTCCCCTGCAGGCACGCTTGCGGGCGCGACATGCAGGAGGTACCCTGGTTATCTTGACAAGCGTGCGGGGTTCCCCCCCGACGAGGGTCAACCTCGCCTCGTCGTCGCGCCGCGACTCGGGTCGGAGCGCCTTCGGCGCGCGGTGGCTGCCCGCGACGGGTGTCGATGTGGAGCTGTCGGCGGCGGTGACGCCCCCCCCACGCTCATTCAGAAGCCCAGAGTATCTATAAGGCTTCCGTCACCAAGCGGCAGGTTCTGCGTCAAGGATTTGATTGTGCACACAGACGGCGGGACCCGAGCGTAGTCGAGCTCGGCGGCCGCATGGTGTTCAGAAGGCGTGGTTGGCGGGAGCCGCTTCTCGGCTGCTGTGGGCGATCTATTCGGACTCCACTTCGAAGTTGGAAGCGGCGGCCACGGCTCTCGACGAAGGGTTCTGGCCGCCGGAGAGACCCGCGCGCGCCGCAGGAGGAAGAGGAGGAGGAAAAGGAGGACGAGAAGGTGGATGAGGAGGAGGCGGAGGAGGAGGAGGAGGGGAGTGGGGGAGATGAGGAGGAGGAGGAGGAGGATAGGAGAGGAGAAGGAGGAGGAGGAACGGGAGGGGATGAGGACAGGGAAGGAGGGGAGAGGAGGAGGAGGAGGAGGAGGCGAAGGAGGAGGAGGAGGAGGAGGAGGAGGAGGAGGGGAAATGAGGAGGGGGAGGAGGGGGAGGAGGAGGAGCTGGTGGTCAGGCCAGTGGCGCTGCACGAGCTGCGGCTGGCGCTCGACGGCGCGACGGCCACGGGACGCCCCCCCCCTCCCCGAGGGTCGAGGAAGAGGATCGCGGAGAACCGAGGGTCGAGGAGGACCGAGGATGGAAGAGGATCGAGGATCGAAGAGGGGGAGGAGGTGCTCAGACCTCCGCCGCGGTGACTGAACAAACAAAAAAACAGGGCACGACGGCGTTTCAGCGTGTTCGGCCTCCGGGGGGTCCAGCCCCTGGGTCGTCCAGAAACGACTGGTCGGGGCTCCCTCCCTCCTCCCTCCTCCCTCCCTCCCTCCCTCCCTCCCTCCCTCCCCTCCCTCCCATGAACTGCGCATTGAAGAACCAAGACCTCGCAGATCTGGGGAGAGGGGGGAGGATGGGCGGGAGGGGGGGGGGATCTGGACGCTCCCAGGGCACTTCGCTCGCGCTCTCTCGGGTGATTTCTGAGGGGGGCCCAGAGGGGACGGGAGAGAACAAGAGGGAGGGAGGATGGAGGAGGAATTGGATGAGGAGGCTTCCTTCTCTGAACCCAGATGCGCCCAATCGGCTCTGCCACCAGGCCCTCGCTTCTGGCTCGAGCACCTGTGCGCCGCCAACGACCAACGAGCCAGATCCTAAACAGGTTGGAGGAGGAGGAGGAGGAGCAGCAGCAGCAGGAGCAGGAGCAGGAGCACGAGCACGAGCACGAGCACGAGCACGAGCAGGAGCGGCAGTAAGTGGAGGGAAGAGGAAGAGCAGCAGGAGGAGAAGTTGCAACAGGACAGGAGGCAGGAGGAGAGCATCAGCCCTTGAGCGGAGGGTCAGAGGAGGATGACAGCAGCCTCCTTGCGGAGAGGCGGGAGGAGGAACAGGCACACGCATCACTACTTCTACAAAAAGATGGAGGCAGAGGCTCGGAGGGCAGGAGGCCGCCCCCCACCGGGTGGCAGAGCTCGTGCTGATCAGGGTTGGGCGTCGAGTGCTCTTCTTATGCATTATCAGCTGGCCCGCCATGCGTGCCCCTGCGTGTCAATGTCAATATCACGTTGCACGTGGCCGTGACTGTTCCAGCCTGGTTCACGAGCACGCTTACGCGCCGCCGCCGACGACGCCGACGCCGACGCCGACGCCGACGCCGCCGCCGCCGACGCCGACGCCGACGACGACGACGACGTCGGCGCCAGGACCTGGCATAGGCGCGGGGCACTGGTTTGCCCTGCGGGAGTGGCGGAGACGGCGGCGGCCGCCCGCGCTGACGCCCGCCACGGCGGTGAGCTGGTGACGCCCGGCGGGCGGTGCCAGAAATGGCGGCGTTGGCCCGGCGGCTGCTCGACAGAGGGGCAGGGGCGACGGAGGAGGAGGGTCGGCAAAACGGAGGAGTAACCTTTCGCCAGAGAGACCTTTGGCGCAGGCACACTGGAGCCCCCAGATGGTTGAATGCGATTCGATGTCAGCGGCTTGCGCGCTCGGCCTCCCCGCGCGCCCCGGAAGCTGCGCACCAAAGGTCACCTTCGCTTGGGGTCACTCTTCTTGCGCGTAGCCGAGATACGGGGGAGGGAGGAAGGCTTGGGGGTGGAGGGGGATGACGACTTGGATGGTAGTGGAGCCGACGGGATGCGGAAGCGAGCCAGCTCAAAGGGCAGACCGATGGGACGAGCCGGAAGGGAGGATTTAGCAACAAGGCAGAGACGAGCAGTCCTGAGAAAGGGTGCCTTCGTCCTCCTGTCCCAACCCCCCTCGTTGTCGTCGTCTTCCGTCTCCTCTGTTCCGCTGGGGGTCCCAACAGGCTCCACCAGAGGGGGTGTCACGAGGTGGCGGTGATGATGATGATGAGGGGGAGTAAAGAAAGGAAACGAGGATGAAAAGAGTTGGAGGAAAAAGAGTTGGAGGACGAAGAGTTGAGGAGGGGAACGTTGATGTGACGCACGAAGGCGCATGAGCAGGAGGCGCAGGGTTTTCTACACTCCTTCTGCAAGCCGCTGTGGGAACGCATGTCCTCATTCCTCCTCCCCCATTTCCTGATCCTCCTTTCTTCCCACCCCCACTCCTGCTTCTCAACCACCGTCCCTGCCTCCTCCCTCACTTCGTCTTCCCTCCTCCCTCCTGGCGGCCAGAGCGGGAGGGCGCCCGCGGAGAAGAGCGGGTGCGAAGTTGCCGAGGCTACCTCTATTTCCACAAGGCCCCCAACGCCAAGGAGTTCCACGAGGAGAACATAAGAAAGGCCACCCGAGAGGGGAGAGCGGAAGGGAAGAGGAGGAGGTGTAGGAAGAGGAGGGAGGAGGGATGATGATGATGATGATGATGATGATGCTGATGCTGATGCTGATGCTGATGCTGATGTTGATGCTGATGCTGATGATGATGATGATGATGATGATGATGATGATGATGGTGGTGATGGTGATGGTGATGATGATGATGATGATGATGATGATGATGATGATGATGATGATGATGATGATGATGATGATGATGATGATGATGATGATAAGGAGGAGGACGAGAACGAGAACGAGGAGGAGGAGGAGGGGGAGGAGGTCTGCTCCGCTGACTCCGCGTCGCGCGGGGAGCACCCCGCCAGGTGAAGCAGTTGCACCTGTACGACTGCCTGCGGGCGAACAAGGCCATGATGGCCTGGGGCGTAGAGGCGGGCGGGGCCCTTGCCCTCCACGGCGCCAGCGACGAGGACGGCGCAGGCGGCGGCGACGACCCGAGCTCCTCGAGGAGGAGGTGGAGGCGGATGATCAAAGATCGAAGATGAGGAAGACGAGGATCGAGGAGGCGAATCGAGGATCGAGAAGGAGAGGCAGGATCGAGGAGTAGAAGGAGGAGTGAGGATCGAGAAGGAGGTGTATGTATCTTTGTCCTGGTGTTCTGGCTAAGCCAAGTATTGCAGTTACCAATGTTGTTTCTTTTTGATGTCCACACCATCACCTTCATCCTCACCGTCATTATCGCATCGCCACTAGCATCATGAATATCGTGCTGAATCGTTTCAGCTCAAGTGAAACATATTTGGGCTGCGCCAGTGAATGCCCAGTTTTGGATCGGGCGTGTGGGTTCCGCACACTCAGCCACCAGGCACGTGTAAGTTTGAGGCCTTATCGAACGTGCTCACTGACAATATGTAACATGTTCGTTATGCGACGGAGGCGCTGGGATGTCAGAAGGAGAGGATCCAGAACTCCGCATCTGATGCTTGAACTGGAACAACTTGCCGCCGCCGTCGAACAGGACTTCGCCGATGCGCACCGCAAGCTTTGTGGTATGATCAAAGGCACCGATATGGAGCACGAAAGGCAGATCGCTGCTGTAAGCGCACTTGCTAAGAACCTGATAAATGTGGTCATGCTGTTTCACAGCTGCACATAATATATATAAACATATGTATATATATATATATATATATATATATATACCGGAGGACGTGGCCAGGGAATCCCCTCCAGGGACCTCGGCGGCGCATGGGGGGCCCGGGGCCTTACTTCAACTGTGTTTTACATGCTTTCGGCGACCTGGAGCCAACAGAGCCCCAAGAGGTTGCCGGGAGCTCCAGAGGCTGCTCCCGCCTGGTGCCCCAGGTCCCCCACAGGCCTCCCAGAGGCGTCCAGGAGAGCTCCCCAAAGCTCGAACACTTGGTTTGCCTCTAATTTGTTTCAATGCGTTTCTCCATGCAGCCTGTTGTGCATCCCCACTCTGCACGACAGCCCCAGAGGACGCCCGGACCGCCCTGGTTCGGCCCCAGAGGCTCCCAACCTTGTCCCCAGATGGCTCCGCATGGG